TCAAAACTTGGGGGACAAAAAATATCATCTTCATCAAACATAGCTTCCCCAAGCTTGTGGTTTTGCATATCATTAGCATCATGGATATTCAAAGAATTCATACTAACAACATTGCAATCATGCTCATCATTCAAATATTTTATGCCAAGCATTCTATGTAATTCTTCTTCTAGTACTTGAGCACAATTTTCCTTCCCATCATTTTCACGAAAGACATTAAAAAGATGAAGCATATGAGGTACCCTCAATTCCATTTTTTATAATTTTCTTTTATAAACTAAACTAGTGATAAAACAAGAAACTAAAAGATTCGATTGCAAGATCTAAAGATATACCTTCAAGCGCTAACCTCCCCGGCAACGGCGCCAGAAAAGAACTTGATGTCTACTACACAACCTTCTTCTTGTAGCCGTTGTTGGTCCTCCAAGTGCAGAGGTTTGTAGGACAGTAGCAAATTTCCCTCAAGTGGATGACCTAAGGTTTATCAATCCGTGGGAGGCGTAGGATGAAGATGGTCTCTCTCAAGCAACCCTGCAACCAAATAACAAAAAGTCTCTTGTGTCCCCAACACACCCAATACAATGGTAAATTGTATAGGTGCACTAGTTCGGCGAAGAGATGGTGATACAAGTGCAATATGGATGGTAGATATAGGTTTTTGTAATCTGAAAATATAAAAACAAAAAGGTAGCAAGTGGTAAAAGTGAGCACAAACAGTATTGCAATGCTAGGAAACAAGGCCTAGGGTTCATACTTTCACTAGTGCAAGTTCTCTCAACAATAATAACACAATTGGATCATATAACTATCCCTCAACATGCAACAAAGAGTCACTCCAAAGTCACTAATAGTGGAGAACAAACGAAGAGATTATTGTAGGGTATGAAACCACCTCAAAGTTATCTTTCCGATCGATCTATTCAAGAGTCCGTAGTAAAATAACACGAAGCTATTCTTTCTGTTCAATCTATCCTAGAGTTGTACTGGAATAACACCTTAAGACACAAATCAACCAAAACCCTAATGTCACCTAGATACTCCAATGTCACCTCAAGTATCTGTGGGTATGATTATACGATATGCATCACACAATCTCCGATTCATCTATTCAACCAACACAAAGAACTTCAAAGAGTGCCCCAAAATTTCTACCAAAGAGTCAAGACGAAAACGTGTGCCAACCCCTATGCTTAAGTTCATGAGGTCACGGAACTCGCAAGTTGATCACCAAAACATACATCAAGTGGATCACGTGATATCCCATTGTCACCACACATAAGCACATGCAAGACATACATCAAGTGTTCTCAAATCCTTAAAGACTCAATCCGATAAGATAAGTTCAAAGGGAAAACTCAATTCATCACAAGAGAGTAGAGGGGGAGAAACATCATTAGATCCAACTATAACAGCAAAGCTCGCGATACATCAAGATCGTGCCGACTCAAGAACACGAGAGAGAGAGAGAGAGAGAGAGAGAGAGAGAGATCAAACACATAGCTACTGGTACATACCCTCAGCCCCGAGGGTGAACTACTCCCTCCTCTTCATGGAGAGCGCCCGGATGATGAAGATGGCCACCGGAGAGGGATTCCCCCCTCTGAGAGGGTGCCGGAACGGGTCTAGATTGGTTTTCGGTGGCTAAGAAGGCTTCTGGCGGTGGAACTCCCGACCTAGGTTTCTTTTTGGAAGTTTTGGGTTATATAAGAGGTGTTGGAGTCTGGAACAAGGCAGGGGGGTCTCCGGGCTGTCCACGAGGCAGGGAGGCGCACCCAGGGGGGTGGGCGCGCCCCCACCCTCGTGGGTAGCCCGGGTCTCTTCTGGCCCAACTCTTTTACTCCATGGCCTTCTTCTGGTCCAAAAATAAGTTCCGTGCAGTTTCATGTTAATTGGACTCCGTTTGATTTTCCTTTTCTGTGATACTCAAAAACAACGAAAAAAACAGAAACTGGCACTGAGCTCTAGGTTAATAGGTTAGTCCCAAAAATCATATAAAATGACATATAAATGCATATAAAACATCCAAGGTTGATAATATAATAGCATGGAACAATCAAAAATCAGAGATACGTTGGAGACGTATCACCCATCTTGTTATCCTCGATGGCAACAATGCAATACGTGTCGGTTCCCCTTCTGTCACTGGGATGGAGCACCGCAAGATTGAACCCAAAGCTAAGCACTTCTCCCGTTGCAAGAAAAACCAATCTAGTTGGCCAAACCAAATCGATAGTTTGAAGAGACTTGCAAAGATATCAAATCATGCATATAAGAATTCATAGGTGATTGAAATAATATTCATATATAAGCTGATCATAAATCCACAATTCATCGGATCTCGGCAATCACACTGAAAAGAGTATAAAATTGAATAGATCTCCAAGAACATCGAGGAGAACATGGTATTGAGAATCAAAGAGAGAGAAGAAGTCATCTAGCTACTAGCTATGGACCCGTAGGTCTGAGGTAAACTACACACGCTTCATTGGAGAGGCAATGGTGTTGATGTAGACGCCCTCCGTGATCGAATCCTCCTTCGGCAGGACGTCGGAAAAGGCCCCAAGATGGGATCTCACGGGTACACAAGGGTGCGGTGGTGGAAAAGTGTTTTTGTGGCTCTCCTGGTAGGTTTTGGAATATTTGAGAATATATATGCGAAAGAAATAGGTCGGTGGAGTCATGAGGGGCCCACAAGGGTAGGGGCGTGCCCTACCCCCTAGGCGCGCCCTCCGTCCTTGTGGCCGCCTCGTGGCTTTCCTGACATGCACTCCAAGTCCTTTGAATGTCTTCTGGTCCAAGAAAAATCATCGCGAAAGTTTCATTCCGTTTGGACTCCATTTGGTATTCCTTTTCTGCGAAACTCTGAAACAAGGAAAAAACAAAAATTGGCACTAGGCTCTAGGTTAATAGGTTAGTATCAAAAATCATATAAAATCGCATAATAATGCATATAAAACTTCCAAAACAGATAATATAATAGCATGAAACAATCAAAAATTATAGATACATTGGAAACATATCAAGCATCGAAGCCACCATCAACAAATGTGAGAAGGAAGATAAGCGGGAACATAGATGAGATGCACGTGGACCCATTAAGGTCCTCAGTCATGACTACCGTGTTAAAGACGTGTGGATGCTTTTTTCCGTTGCAATGCACAAACATTTTTGCTAGTTTATGCTAAGGGGGTTGTAAGGTCTGTCCATCTCGACGCCTAGCCAGCCGCCTCCTACCCCAAAAAATTAGAGTTTCTCTGCCTCCCGCCGACGCCAGCGTCGGTCCGCCCCGTCTACCATGGCCTTAGGGCCATGGGGACAGAGTGGATACCGGCCCTTGCCGGTGGGAGGGCTCCGTTTTTAGATCCTTTTTCGAAATTTGTTAGGGTTTGTGTCCTACTCAGGAAGGAAAGACGATGGCGACTCCCTGAAGATGGAATAAAGGCCTACCGGCCTAGTCCCCGTTCCGGTGATGCGTCTAGCATCGTCGGTGGGCGTGTGGAGGTGTCTCCGGTGGATCTCTCTCTGGTGGATTTGCTCAGATTTGTTCGTTGTTCGTCTTTGTTCGTGTGTCTTCAGGTTGGATCCTTCTTATCTACACTCTTCATCGGCGGCGGTTACTGTTCTGGTGCGTTGCTTCTACGGGCCTTAGTACGATGACTTTCCGACTGTCAGCTACAACAAGGTTTGTCAGGCTCCGGCGAGGGAGGGATGATGACAGCGGCGCGCCTTCGGCTCGCTTCGATGCTGGTAGTCGTCGCTAGGTGGTCTACGGATCTGGATGTAATTTTTATTATTTCTAGTGTTCGTTGTACTACCATGATTGAAGATGAATAGATCGAAAGTTTATCCCGAAAAAAATTAGTTCTTCAAAATGAGAGCCACAAGTTGACAAGTCTAAAAAAAATCTTGCCACACTTTTTAAGTGTATGTGATGTTGGACCTTAGTGTGGCTTGACTAAGGTGGGACTTGAATCAAACACCCACATAAGGGCTCATTCTGTTTGGAGGAAATTAGAACCTAGGAATTAGGAGTAGTATAGGATTTGATAGGATGACACTTGTCATCCTAAGGAATTGACTTGACTTGTTTCTACGTGAAAAATGAGCTTTGAGTGGATGTGTAGTTTCCTCAAAAACACAGGAAATAAATAGTATTCCTACAAAATTCCTATACGCATTTCCTATAAACCGAATGCATATATAGGAAATTTTCCTCCGGAATCTTTGTTTCTATGTTATTCCTATAAAAATCTTCCAAACCGAATGGGGTCTAAGTTGATCAAACTTTAACCATAGACAAACTTAGGGCTTGTTTGGTTCGGCCGTGGATTTCTAAAAGCGGCTGTAAAAAAGCTGCTGTGGAAAAACAGCTGTGGAAAATCTGATGTGAAAAAGATGTAGGTCATTTGGCAAACCAGCTGATACAGCCTTTTCAAATTTTGGCCCGCAGCGGAATCAGATTTTAAAAAGCACGTCCTGGATTGCTTCCGCTTTTGGTTTAGATTTTGACAACGGATTTCTAAAATTGAATTCTGTTAGGTTCGCTTTTTAATTTAGATTCTGCTGCGCGACAACGGAAGATAAAATCTGAACCACGGCCTTAGTCTCAAACCAAGCAACGCTGAATCAATTGGGGCTGCTGGTGCGCCGCGTGTCCGTGGGGGAGTCGTCTTCTCCCTCCCTCCCTCCCAGGCTCCCACTAACTTCTTGCCGCAGAAACCGACTACCGTCCCGTCCCCTCCTACCTCCCCACGAAACGGAATTTCTCCTCTCCCGCCGCCACACCCCCACCCCACCCCCGCTGGAGAAGACAGCCGAGCCGCCGCCTCCTGGATCCACCGGTTCGTGGTCCCGATTCCCGTTTGCTTTGGCCAGTACCTCTGTCAGCCGATCGAATCGAGATTGTTTTGTTTCGTTCCTAATTCATTCATTCCTCTCAATCCGTATTCTTCCAGCGCGTTAGGACTAATAACTGGGACTAGCGGATCCATCGGTCCAGCATGGAGCCCTCAGCACAGGGAGGGCCTTCTACTTCCACGTCGGTACGTATGCGTGTTGATCTCTGCTTGTTTTCCTCTTGCTCGTACTACCCACCTTCCTATGCCTTCAAGATTACGATGTTCAGATATTATCCGAGTCGCTTAGGAATTTAGTACCTGTAGAGTTTTTTTTTTTTACTTTGGTAGGAATGAAGCAGGCAGCCGCCATAGTTGTCTGTTTGCCTTGTGAGTTGCGTGCCATAATAAAGCTGAACTTTTCGACCCCTTATCCTTATCCTTCCTTCGTACTACCCGTCTTCTTCATATGCATTTTCAAGTTTAATCGGGAAGGAAGGGTTTGGTGCCATCAACTTTACCACATTGTAGCAACACTTCTATGTTTTTATTATTATTATTATATCAATCTGCAGAAATATAAGCATGCCCGTCACTAGGTGAAAGGAATTGAATTGAGCCGATTCAAGTTGAGAGTTGACATTCCTTTCACAAGGAAATTGGTCTGCTACTCGTGTAGCCATTTTTATGCAGCGCGAACGATTAAATGGCAATTCCTGCAATATTCTGAACCCAAGTTGCTTGATACGTCGTGCTATTAACATCCACAAAAATGCACCAAGCCAAGTTGCCAAGTGATTTGGCTTACTTAACCTTAGTGCCAGGACAGGGTTGTTACAAACGTATCGGTTACCTGCAGTATGCTGGCTAAAGGCCCCTGTGGTCATATTTTTTGTTTTTGTTTTATCACTTCCTTGTGCTAACAGAATAGTTACTGATAAATCACAAATCTAGGTTGACGATAGCCAATCAGTCGATAGGGCTGAAGATTCAGAACTCTTCCCCTCTGTCCCAGCATTAAACCAAGCTGCGTCTAATCTTGCCCAAATAGCTTCGTATTTTACCCAGTGCCTCCCAGTGCCTGGTTACACAGGTTAGATTTCTTGTTCTGACTGACGATTATGCCGTAAGATTTTTTTATTCATGTCATAAATCTGGTTGAACCCCTTCATATATTTACTCTCGATTACAGGAATACCGGAGGAAGACCAAGAACTAGCAATACTTCCACCGGTCTCAACTTCTGGCAGGCCTGCTCTTCAGACTTCTTCTGCAGAGTTGGATGGCAGTAGCTTGTCTCCCAGTGTAATAAGTTCCTCTCAAGAAACCTTGGAAATCTCAGGGCAGATGGCACCTTTTCGTGTTTTTCAGAATGGAGCTTCACTATTTCAAGGGTAGAGATTGCTCTGTCATTTGTGTATTATACTTTTCAAGTATATCTATTTTTCATTGAAACCAGCAGTGTTTTCTTATTATTTTTAGATTAAATTGGAATTGGAATATAATGGTGGATTCTTTATATGTCTATATGCAGTCTCGTAGATCGTGCTCGGAAAACTGTACGTGGTTCAGCAGATGATATCGGATGGCTTCAGCGCACTCAAGGCTTACCTGCAGCTGAGGATGGGACGACCAGATTTATGGAGATCCTTGACTCCGTGAGGTCAGTGAAAATAAAAAACTGAATCTCAGTTTTTACAATATGTAAAGAATGCTTTTAGTAACTATCTTACATATTTATTTCACTCCTCTCCAGAAAAAATGAGCACAAGCTACCTGATGCGGTGGTCTATTTGTTAGTTCCAGGTTAGTCTGATGCTACGTCGATACTGAAAACAATTTATGGAACTTTTGTGGTTACACATGTTCTTCTGCTTTTACAGGTTTATTTAGTAACCATGGGCCACTTTACTTTGTGAAGACAAAAGCATACTTCTCCAAAATGGGTCTGGTTTGTCACATTGCCAAGATTCACAGTGAGGTACTTACCTATATTGGTTTGTGTTTTTCTCTTGATATACTATTTTCATCAAGTGATACTAAAGGTGTCCTTCAGTCTTCAGTAAGTAAAAACGCAAGGGAGATAAAAGAATACATTGAAGAAATATACTGGGGATCAAGGAAACGTGTGCTCCTTCTTGGTCATAGCAAGGGTGGTGTAGATGCGGCAGCAGCTCTGTCACTCTACTGGCCACAACTGAAAGACAAGGTTGCAGGTTTGGTACTAGCTCAAAGCCCCTATGGAGGAAGCCCAGTTGCTTCTGATATCCTAAGAGAGGGGCAGCTTGGTGACTATGTCATGCTACGCAAGCTTATGGAGATTTTGGTTTCGAAAGTCCTTAAGGTATTTTCTGTGAATTGATCATTGCAATCATTACCATGTCAGCTTACACAGTGGACGACACCAAATTTAATTTCATAATCATTTGGGTTTCTCCAGGGTGATTTGCAGGCGCTAGAAGATCTGACATATGAAAGGAGGAAAGAATTCCTGGCGCAGCACCCATTGCCCCCCGAGGTGCCAATTGTATCATTCCACACGGAGGCAAGCATCACCCCCAGTGTGCTGACAGCCCTCTCTCATGTTGCGCATGTTGAGCTGCCGGTTGCCGCTGACGGCAATCCTGCGAGGATTCCTGTTGTAATGCCACTTTCAGCTGCCTTGGCAGCATGCTCGCAGCTGCTGGTGGCGAGGTATAGTGAGAAGAGTGACGGTCTTGTGACGAGGAAGGATGCTGAAGTTCCCGGATCGGTGGCGGTCCGACCAGAGCGGAAGCTGGACCATGCGTGGATGGTGTATTCCTCGATGAATGAGGAGCCTGGGGATCAGGCGAACACGTCGCAGGTATGCGAAGCTCTGCTGACTCTGCTTGTCGAGGTTGCGCAGAAAAGGAGGCATGAGACGGCCATGAAAGACGAATAGGGAAAGCGTTGGAGCTGTGCTGACAGATTTGTGTAACTATAGATTGACTAGGTGGTTGTTGGTAGAGGTTGAAACTGCTTTCTCGTAACCTTGCCGAAGCTGACCTTTATGCATATACTTCTGGTTTCTTGACATGGAATATCTTTATTCCATTAACCAACGTGCACAGCAATGTCGCTGGCCACCAAGTCTCGGACAAAGGTCGGAGCGCCACCTGGCCATACGGCTTGGGGCTCGACGCCCATCTTCGAACCGAACGCCGCTAAGGCTTCCGGGAAGTTCTGGGACAAAATGTCACCTTAAAAGACAGAAAAATGTATATTAAGAACAGCTTTTATTTCTCGAAACAAAACACCCACTGGTGCCAGGTCCAAGTCGGTCTACGTGATGGCCTTCTTGAGCTCCATAGCATTTGTCTCGATAAAGATCTGTGTCATGCACCACCCTTGAGCAGCTTGAATGGCTAGTTCTTTTGGTGGCAATTTTAGGCTTCTAGAAGCACAACCAAGAATGTCTTTAAGGCTAGTCATAGTGGGAGTAACTTAGCAAGTAACCTAGCGCACTCCAAGAAATTTTTGCTTATGTGGTATGTAATTAGTGAGAGGTGGTAACATAATATGTTACTGTAACATAGTGTTTTCCAAGACAAGATGAGTCTACAAGCTAATTAATGAAGTCTTCTATGATACTACTACTATATTACTTTGCACTATGAAGATAGTAACTTAGACTAGTGTCATATGTATGACACTAGTATAAGTTACTCCCCACTATGATCAACCTAAGAGCCTACTAGTCAAGTCTTAATTAGTAGTAGTCTTCTAAAATAAATAAATTTGATTGGGCTTCTAGAATGGGTAGGGGACAGCCTACCCATTCTTTGTTGTGCTGGAAGCCAACAAAATCTTTGTTGTGCTGGAAGCCAACAAAAGAACTGGCTCGGCACGTCAGTGTGTGGATCAAGCAATTCATCTACCTTTATGGAAAGACCCTTTGGTGTAATTGGTTGGTCGTCTTGACCCACTTACAAGGGACCCATGAATATGTCCAAATTTGTATCGATGATCCCTTAATTGGTTAGTCGTCTTGACCCACTTACAAGGGGCCCATGTATATGTCCAAACTTGACCCACTTAATTGGTTGGCCGCTTTCAATATGTTGCGTATTTGGCCGTCTGTCACTCCGATTTGGTCATTTTCGTGGGTTGTCTGTCAGCTTCATAGAAGATCATGGACAAGGGTGAGAGAAAGAAGAAGGCGTTGGGAAAAAACATGTGAATATTTAATTTTACAGTTTATATTTAAGGGGTCTGTTTGGCCGCAGCTCAAACTGACCCTTAAAATGCGTTTTCCATGAACTAAAAACCGTGTTTTCAGTTTCGCGGTTTAAGGGGTCTGCTAGAGATGTTCTTAGCTAGCATGGCGAAGTTGAATGAATAAAGATCCTTATATCCCAAACCTCCTTTGTCCTTTGACAGTGTAAGCTTCTCCCAACTAATCCAATGAACTTTGTTTTCATTTTGCTATTGGGTCCAAAAATATCTATCAACACTTATTATTGTGAGATAGAGAGAGATGACATGTGGGTGTAGGGGTATTTTTTGTCATATAACATGGTCAACGGGTTTGACCTGACAATAACGATGTCTGATGGCATTTTTTAGATATCTAATGGCTTTTCTGAATAAGCATATCACGAAATGATGACATTTTTAGCAGTTGTAACTTCTAATGACAAAACTGAGTAGTGGGACACAACTAGTAACATAAATGATAAAAACCCATTGTAAAGGGGCCGACCCTTCCCAATAAAGCAGAGAAGAATATTGTCATTTACTTTGATCTACTTTTCAGTAATTAGGGTTAGGTCAGTAGTAGTTCTTCCAAATACCATGTAGGACTTGTTCGAATCTTAGAAGTTTGCCTAGTTGGTGCTCCTGAATGTGTTGTGAATAACTTTGAACCTTTGATTATGATCTGCAACAAGAAAGAACATTGCTACTTGCTTTTCCATATAGGTGTGGATATTATCATCTAGCAACCCTTTGCCCCTAAACGTCTCCACTAGCTTGGCAAAAGGTGCTCGTCGCATTCGAAGCATGCTCACAACCTCTACATTGTTGTAGTCTTGTAGATGTAGTTCAGATTCACTCTCCCTACTTAGGCTTACAATGGACCATAACAGGTCACAGGTTTATCACCTGACGAATCACTCTCGTGTGGACCAATATGACACATGCCTAAATCATAGTTATGAGTCTTGCTGAATAAACAACTTGCTTCATCCGTTGGTCCTAATGAAATCGATGTGGTGGTAAGTAATTGCGAAATCGACCATACCTAACGACCTAATAATGAAGGGTGGTTGTATGGTGTTTACTGCCATTGGAGCTAACGACCCGCCCGTGTCGGAGACGAGGCCAGCAATACAGAGATAGAGCAGGTCCTACTAGCGGAGACGAAGGGGAGAAGCAAGTTCTCGTCGGTTTCGCAGATCTGAGTCGCCATCACCGGTGTTAAGAATTGAGACTGGATTTGTCCTACCGCTAGAGGAGATTGAGTAAATGGGTGAAGAGGGAGATTTCATGTCGATTTTTGTCTCCCACCATGTCCATGCTGATTCCTCCTAGCATCATCGTTTACATCGCACCCCCTTTTGCACTCGACTCAGCCTGGTTCGTTGGAAGCGATCGATTCGAGCGTTTCTCATGAGTCAGGCTCTAAGCTACTTTTATGGTTCGTGCGCATGCAGGCCAGGCCCTTGTGTACACAACCAATTTTTTTTTCTTGCACCCACTGGACTAGTTTGAAGAAATGTAGGCTATCAAACACACCCTATGCTTACTCGTCTACTTACATTTTTTTGAGAAAAACTTGTCTACTTACATACGCACCGCACTGATAGGTGGGCCTAATCAATCGGCGATGCCCACAGGCCATTAGGCTCGGATCGAGTGGGGGTTGCCTAAACTTTTTGAATCAAATCCGTCAAAAAATCTCCCACGATACAATGTGCAGAATACGATCCGGTGTGGCATTAACCCAGACCATAGGCATTTCATTACTCACCCCTTCTTTTGCATTAAGCTTGTTTGTGTGTATTAGTACTATATAAGTGGGTAATCAGAAAATGGAACTGTTTAAATATGTGAGCACTCCTTCTGCACTGAAATAACAGTGTCATAAGTCTTATATTTTGATAGGGAGGGAGTATTAAGCTACCAGTCCATCCGAACAAATACTAAAAAGAAGGGTTATGTGCTATCAAGTTGGACATGCACAATGCTTACGACCGAGTGGAATGGTCTTTCTTAAAAGCAATTTTGGTGAAGCTGGGTTTCAAAGAAAACTGGATGAACTTGATTATGCAATGTGTGTCCTCTGTGGAGTACGGGGTTCGGTTTAATGCAGATGAGACTGGTAACTTCAAACCAACTAGAGGGCTAAGGCAGGGGGACCCCCTCTCCCCCTACTTATTCGTGTTATGTACGGAGAGCCTGACTGCCCTTTTAGCAAACGCGGAGGAGAGGGAAAATATTTCCGGCATAAAAGTTAGCAGGGAAGCCCCTTCAGTTTCGAATCTATTATTTGCGGATGATTCTTTGATCCTCATGCGAGCAAATGCTGCAAACACGGAGGTCCTTAGAGTAGTTCTGGACTCTTACTTTGCCGCCTCGAGGCAAATGGTGAGTGTCGAAAAGTCCAGTATATTTTCTAGTCCCAATACAAAAGTGGAGAACAAAGTGCAAATCTGTATAATTTTAAATATTATGACGGAGACACTTAACGATAAATATTTGGGACTACCTGCCAATGTGGGCATGGACAAAAGCGATTGTTTCCAGTTCTTGATTGATCGTATTATTATGAAGATTAGTGGATGGAAAGAAAGGTTGTTATCGGCCGGTGGAAAAGAAATTTTGCTTAAGTCTGTTGTTCAAGCTATCCCAACATATGCAATGTCCGCCTTTAAAATTACTAAAAACATTTGCAAAGGAATCATATACGTGATGTCGCAATTCTGGTGGGGTGACGAGGACAATTAGAAAAGAATGCACTGGATGGCGTGGTGGAAGATGTGTGTTCCAAAAGACCAAGGTGGAATGGGTTTCCGTGATATACACTGCTTTAACCTGGCTTTGTTAGCGAAACAAGTTTGGCGCCTCTTGGAAAATCCTGAATCGTTATGTGCAATAATCCTAAGAGCAAAGTATTTCCCGAAGGGCGATTTGATGAGCGCGGTATTAAAAAAGGACTCCTCTTTTACGTGGCAAAGCATTATGGCGGGAGTGGATTCACTCAGGAATGGCAATATATGGAGAGTCGAAAGAGGAGAAAATATTGACATATGGAGAGATGCATGGATCTCAAATTGTGCAGATAGAAAAATTATTACACCGAGAAGGGGGAATATCTTGACGAAAGTTTCTAATCTTATTGACCCAATCACGAATTGTTGGGATGAAGATTGGGTGAGACAAACTTTATGGCCAATTGATACCCGTAGAGTCCTAGCGATCCCGATCCCTATGCACAATATGTCGGACTTTATTGCTTGGAGCTATACAAAAAACGGTTTATACACTGTACAATCAGCGTATGTGGAGGAATGGAAAAAGCAACATGGGAGGAAATTGGAATACTCAGATGGCATGGGTAGAAATAAGGTCAATCCTATTTGGGGTAAGATCTAGAAATTAGCTTGTCCGGCGAAGGTTAAATTTTTTATTTAGCGGACGCTCCACAAGACTCTACCGTGTCGTGTTACACTGGCCAACAGGCGTATAAAAACTCAGCCAATATGCCCAGCATGTTTGGATGGGCCAGAGAACATGAAACATATATTATTTCTGTCCCAGAAGGCAAAAGAAGTGTGAGAATATTTGGGTGAAGTGGTAAAAAAGCCCGTGTCATTGACCGTGCAGGAGAGGCAGTCCTTGAATTCTTACTCCTTATGCCTGACGATGAATTACCTATATTGGGCTCCCGGAATGCAGGGG